GGGCCGCTGATTTAAACAAAACAGGATAATTTAAACAAAATTGTTATTAAAGTCATACACGAGTGAATAAAGTGAATGCGATTGGTCATTTATCAAGGGGGCAGGATTGTTGTGGCGGAAGGTTTGCAAGCGAGTTTGGTTGTGGCCGGTTTGTTGGAAGCATCTTGCTAACCAGTTAGCATCTTAGTGCTAGCAGGTTCCCAGTGGGAAATTCCATTGGGACCAAGTAGCACTAAATTGTTGACTTAGAAACGACGCTGTCAAGGAACGCTATGGACAGAGGAAACATGCAAGAGGAGGAGAGTTTAGTGTCGGAGGTCGTGGATGAGTCTCCTCCGTCATCCATTTTTTATTTAGAGGAGGAAAGCGGGGACGAAGATGTTGTGGAAGAGGACGCCAGGGCGGCAGAAGCTTGGTTTGGTGTAGAAGGCTTCCAGCCGTACATGTTTGAGCCCTTGCCTCGCAACGCTGCCAGTTCTGTTAGCTCTACGCCTGCCGAAGACACAGACGTCCATCCCCGTGAACACTGCGACGCAACTCAATGGGAAAGGAAAGGATTCTGATTTCAACCGTTGTGTATATTAGCTGCGACATATGAATCAAGATGCTATGACCGAAAAAATATGATTGACAGATGACCGTTTATATATGATTGGCCGAATTTAGGTGTTCAGGCTGACGTAGAACTAACTGGCCTGCAGAAGAAAAAAAAAAAACACACAAATACAAAGGCAGGATTTTTTTTTTAAATAGAAATTTTGATAAAGAGTACAATATATACATGTTCAACGCAGAATGATACGACTTCCCTACGACTTTAAAGTACTTTCAGAAGTTTGAATTCTGAATATGACCAGACTTTTCCTTTAAACAACAACAGAGAGTCTTCTGTTAAAAACTCATCCATTCTGGTGCAAACAGGCCGACGCTGCTTACAGCAGGACTACAACAACTCATTGATGAAAGAAACACCCGTTAGCTACAGCAGGATTTAATTTCCCTTTGGGGGTCAATACCTTATTTCTTCATTAAATTAAATAAACTAGAATAAATGCAAGTCAAACATGAGTACACAGGGGATTCAATTTCAACCCACGCATTTTCTTTGCAATCCACTGAGCCTGACAATAAGCGGAAGTGTTTGGGTCCACTGCGCTGCATAACTAGTCAAACAGAGCAAAGTTTGCCGTCCCAACAATAGAGCCTTGTGCTCCCTGAGGCCGAGCGCGGGGAGGTCAGTGAGAAACAACAACATGCCGCCGCACGTCGCCGCCACATACTCTGCAGCCTCAATAGCAGCAAAACCCTGAAAACAAAGCTGCAAACCCAACCATTCATTCTTAGATGAGGGCAGTTACCGCTGACCTGCTGTACAGAGGCCCACATCCACACACACACTCTGTTCAAAGTGAAGAATGCATTGCTTCTGCAAGGGGTGCAAAAAATGTAATAAAAGAAATGTTCTCAGTGGCATATTTTAGGATGAAGCGAGAGGAAGAGCTGCAGAGCGAGTCTGACACCTGCCATGGCGAGCAGGTGTAAATCTGTCTGCCTGGCTCAGTTCTCCTCAAACAAAAGGTACAAATAAAGCCACAGCCCTGAGAGGTGTGGAGGATCAGGGAGCTTAAGGTGGAGCTGATGCTGAGGGGGAATCATTTGTCTCCTTTCCAGATGACAAATCTATTCAGATGGCTAAAAGGAATAAATTCATAAAAAAAGGGGGATTAACTGTCCTCCGCCTTGTTTTCATGACAGCTCAGTCCTAATTAATGAAACCAGGAAGAAAATGATGCATCTTTCCTGCACGTCACGCTCCAACATCCTCCCAGCGTGTCCTGATCGTCACAGAGGGGACACACTAACACACATCGCACTCTGGGAAATAAAAAGAAGCTATTTTTACCGCGCAGCAGGGCGAGGCTCTGCTGCACCGTACACAAAGTAGGGAAACTGTAAGAACAGAGGGAGGGAGGGCTGACGGGTACAAAGCGGAAGTGTCCTTCCTCCTGATGACCTGCCAGTTTGAGGGAGGAACACAGAGTGCTTCTCTATGCACAGAACGTATAGGGAGGGTGGCTGCAAACTGCAAACTCTTCCAGCGTAGCACATCTAGATATAAACATTTCAGTCCATTTTTGTCTGCAAAAAGCTCAGACAGGCAGGACAGGGTTTCGGATTTGACTAGGCCAGGGAGCCGAAAGCGACTCCTGGGACCCTCTGCAATGACTCGTGTTAGTGATTACAAACTATATAGAGAACCAACTAGTTTAAGAAGATTTAGTTGGGGTTTTTTTTAAGATTACTTGAATTTTCATAACAGAAAAAAACAGAAATAGAAGTGAATCTACTTTTCTAGTTATTAGTTTGGAACTTATGTGTTTGTTTTTTACATTAAAGAATATCCTACGGAAAAAAGAAAGATGCTTTATCCTTTTGAAATTGTAGCTTTTTCTTGTTTTAAAAGCTAAAATTACAATTAAACAACTTGAATCTTTGAAAGGAAACAGATTTTCTACGGTAGATATGAACCTAAACTAAGAAGAAGTGTTTCCTGTTTGGATTTTAAAGGTTGCAGACACCCTGGACTATGCTTTTCTAACCCCTGAATATACTTCAATCTAAAACCCTCTGGCTGTAAGTCCAGGGTTGACTCAGGTCTTTCAGATTTTCTTCCAGGAAAGTCCAATTTTCCTTGGCAAGATCTCCACAGCATGATGCTACCACCACCATGTATCACTGTGTTTATTGCGATGGCTACTGTTAGTTCCCTGCAACAAAAAAGGGTTGGAATGGAGACTAAAAACGTTCATATTAACTTCACAAAGTTAATATTTTTTCCTGAACTATTCAATAGAAAGATCTTAGATTTAGACAACTTTTACTGTCACTATATAAACTAGGGATGCACGATATTGGAATTTTGGCCGATATCCGATATGCCGATATTTTAAAACTCATGTAGCAGATAACCGATATCGATACCGATGTTAAAGCTGGACAAAAATAAGTAGTCACTGAAAATAGCAGTTTTGTTATCCATTTCTGACACTTTGAAAAATAATATACTCAAATATATTTTCATATGCTGATATCAAATAGATTTTTAAAAACGCGGTATCGATCTATTTTACTTTCAAAATCTCGTGAAATTTCATCGTTCTGTTACAAACTCTCGTGACATTTTGCAAATTCTTGTGAGATTTTGTCAGTAAAATAGATCGATACCGCGTCAATATATCAATATATAAAAATATGGCAACATTTCGTGAATTTTCGGGGGATTTCGTAGCATAACGATGACATATAGCAATATTTCGTTAGTAAAAGAGATTGATATGGTGTTTTTAAATGGCAATATATCAGCATATGAAGATATTGGGATATTTTAATGTATCAATATTTTTTCCCTCGTCTTTAGGAGTTTTTAAGTCTGTAAAAAAGAAGTTTTTGAGGAAGAAGTAGTAGTATTTTTTTAATTTTTTTTTTAGACTTTAGAAACCCAGAAGCTGATCAAATATCGGGTTAAATATCTGTGGGGTGGCCGATGTCCGATATTCAGTTTTAAGGCCGATACTGATAGGGGGCCGATTATATCGTGCATCCCTAATATATACACAAAATATACAAAACCAAAGTTGGTTTATTACAGCTTTTCAGACGGTAAATCACTTTGGAAGATAATTTGAAAGTTACTTATCAGCGGATGCTTGGATGTAAAACCGATTCTATCCAGCAATCTTTTCTACCTCTGCAAAGGTCTGAACATCCCCCACTGTCAATACTCTAAACTTTCATTTAAATTTGACAGGAAAGTTTTTATTTTTTTAACAGGTTCTGATTAATATTGTTCTAGAAAAAAAATGTAAATATTAAAGGCATATTGTGATCTTATAACATCTGACAAGTTGGTGTGTCACTACGTTATACACTACGCTTTAAAGGGCTGGAATGAGTGAAATCATGTATTATTTGCATTGCATTGTGTTGCTCTATCCAAAGCTGTAACACATATAAAGCCTTAAATGGCCAAGCTCCATCTGATATCAGAGATCTGATTGTTCCTTATGTTCCTAACAGAGCACTTCGCTCTCAATCTGCAGGTTCACTAGTGGTTCCTAGAATTTCTAAAAGTAGAATGGGAGGCAGATCTTTTAGTTATCAGGCTCCTCTCCTGTGGAACCAACTACCAGTTTTAGTCCGTGAGGCAGACACCCTGTCTACTTTTAAGGCTAGGCTTAAAGCTTTCCTTGTTGATAAAGCTTCTAGTTAGAGTGGCTCAGGTTATCCTGAGCTATCTCTATAGTTCTGCTGCTATAGGCTTAGACTGCTGGAGGACACAGGGACCCCTTTTTCATCATTCTGCTTCATTCTATCTCTATTCTCCCACTCTGCAGAATCTGTTAGTTCAATCTCTAACGTTCTGCTCTCTCTGCTTTTTCTCATAGTAGCTTCATCTGGTCTGTTCCTGTTTGGCCTGTTTTCCAGTGTAGTCCTGTTTCTCTGACTGTGACTAACTGGATGTGCTCTCTTCATCCTCTGACATGGGAGCTGGCTCGGAGCTCGTCTGCCTGGCTGTGTGTTTCCTGGCCTTTTACAGCTGCTTTTTCTATGTCTGCTTCCATCTCCTTGAACCCCAGTGGGCCTCAGCAGATGGCCGCTCACACTGAGCCTGGTTCTGCTGGAGATTTCTTCCTGTTCAAAGGGAGTTTTTCCAATCCACTGTCGCTACAAGCATGCTTAGTGTGAGGGATTGCTGAAGAGTCAATGAGTCAATGCAATCAGCTGGTTTTCCTTAGATAGAAAACTTTGAATCAAACTGACTGGATGATCTGGTTTACTGGAAAGTGACCTGAGATGACATGATGTGAATTGGCGCTATAGAAATAAACTGAATAGAATTAACAGTTGAAGCGCTAATCACTAAAGAGCTGCTATAAAACAGTTGGATGCATGAACTGGTTTTTTTTATGTGAACAGGAGACTGCAGCAGAACCACTCACCTCCTCCAGAGCAGCCACTGTGTTCCTGCAGTGGGACATCCTGGTGGTGAAATAAGAGGCAGTCGGAGATTTATAGTCTTCATTTGTCTCTGCGACAAACTCTGAAACAGTGATTTGGTCCGGCATGGCGAGGCTCCAACAAGAACTTTAACCTTAACCTTCTTCTTCTCTCTGTTCAGATTTTTTAAAGCAGCACCAGCAGCAGTTAGGTTACCCGCGGAAAGTGAACCATCTCTGGGTTTGTGTGTGTCCTTCCCCCGCTGTTTGTTCCCAACACGAGCCGTAGTGTGAGAAGCTAGCTCGGTTCTTTGACATCCAGTTCACCGCCTCATCCCCAGAGCTCCTCGGGGTGAAGAAAAGCCGAAAAAACGGCGCCAGATATCCGGACCGGTTTGTGCTAAAGCCGCTGCTGGTCGGAGACAACTTCTTCTGCCGCGGAGCTCCGGGGAACAACAAGCAGGCGATTCAACGGCAGCGCAACGGAGTGACAAAGGCAGTGGAGGGGGCTCAGTCAGAGCGGCTCAGCCAATGGGAAGCGGGAGCTGGAATGGGAGAGCCAATCAGAATCCATGGAAAAATGATGCCTTCACTACTTTCCGTAAATTGTCCTATCAACTGTACTGTTGGATACTACTGTTGTAATTACTCAAAATATGACCCCAGACATTACATCTAAATAAAAGTTAAGTAAACATAAAAAGAATCAAAATGAAATAGAGAACTTAAAACTTTCCTTTTTGATAAATTTTAAAGTTAGAGTGGCTCAGGTTATCCTGAGCTATCTCTATAGTTCTGCTGCTATAGGCTTAGACTGCTGGAGGACATAGGGACCCCTTTTTCATCATTCTGCTTCATTCTATCTCTATTCTCCCACTCTGCAGAATCTATTAGTTCAATCTCTAACGTTCTGCTCTCTCTGCTTTTTCTCATAGTAGCTTCATCTGGTCTGTTCCTGTTTGGCTGTGACTCCATCCTGGAGAGAAATATCAGCTGTGCTGCTGCCATCAACACCTTTGATTCTAGATGTTGGAGATCTGCCTGTTTTTCAGTGTAGTCCTGTTTCTCTGACTGTGACTGTCTCGATGTGCTCTCTTTGTCCTCTGACATGGGAGCTGGCTCGGAGCTCATCTGCCTGGGGCCGCCTTTTACAGCTGCTTTTTGTATCTCTGCTTCTGTCTCCTTGAACCCCAGTCGGCCTCGGCAGATTCACAAGGAGTCTGATTCTGCTGGAGGTTTCTTCCTTTTCAAAGGGAGTTTTTCCTCTCCACTGTCACTACAAGCATGCTTAGTGTGAGGGATTGCTGAAGAGTCAATGAGTCGATGCAAGCAACTGGTTTTCTTTAGATAGAAAACTCAAATTGACTGGATGATCTGGTGAACTGTAAAGTGCCTTGAGATGACGTGTTGTAAATTGGCGCAATATAAGTAAACTGAATTGAAATAGAAAGATTACAGAAAGTAAAGGTGTTCATTGCATTAATACAGTTCAGCTGTTTTTCGAGCCTCCCACAAGTGTATTATTATATATTTTAACGCTAACCATTGATAAAACATTTAATATTTGTTATTGTCACCATCTTGGCACTGATGACTGGATTGTTGGTTTATTTTATTCACCTTCCTAGCTCTGCCAGTCATCAGTGCAAAGATCATGACAACATATCGTATTGCCAAATCCTTGCCTATTCAAACACTTACTATAAGAAGACATGCAGCAAATTAAAGCAAAAATAACAATCCAGGGCCTGGCTGGTTGAGTCCCAGCTTTAACAATTTGTAAGGATCTTTAAGATAACCCAGGAACCAACGGGGCATACAGACAAGCAGAAAGTGAAGCTAATTTAACACAAACCTGGATGTTCAGGGTACTGACCTAAAAAAGGAACCTTTTACTAGATCGTCACCTTAAAGCTGGAAGGAATTCTGAACCAACAACAACCTAGATGCCTTCCTTAGAATTTTTAAATCAGAAAATACAAACGCCAAACTGTTTAGGCCCTGGGAGCTGATGTATGTTTGGAGGAGTCAAAGAGGGGCTTTCAAGCATTAGTCCCCAATATCAAGCCTGATTGCTGGTATTGTTTGTCACGGTCAGAGGCTTTAAATAAGGAAGTAGAAATATTTAGTTATTGTTCTTAAGTGTCTTTTTCAGTATCTGTGCTAAATTTATGTTACTGAAGACTTTTATTCCCTTGTTTTGAACAAAAATATCTGTACTTTCTACTCCTGGAGTCAGGATGTATGGCGGTATTGAGAACCCAAATGCAGAGAGGAGTTGGCACGGATGAGTTTGGATGTTTTCGTAAAAGTCAAAGGGGAACAGAGGCAAAAATACTGAGAACCAAACAAAAACTAATGAACATCAGGGAAAATACTTGAAGGAAGCAAGAGAATAGAAAGCAATAAAACAACATCTACGACACAAGAAACCAGCACTGAGTGAAGGCTCTGATGATACTTTAAGCCCGGCACTCTGATTAGAAACATCCTCTTCACCTGGCTGCACAGGTTCTCCCCAAAGATCCTCTCTGTAGGGAGATTCGTAACTCGGATTCACTAACACACAGTAACCCTGACACCTGGGTTTTTACTTTCTGTACATATTGACAACGACATAAAATGACAGCTGAAACGAAAAGGAAGGAAACAGGATCTTTGCAGTAAGAGCGCCGTTTTGATTAGTGTTGCACCGATACCAGTATCGGCGAGTACCAACAAATAGGCAGTGTTGGGCACGTTACTTTGAAAAAGTAATTAGTTATAGTTACTAGTTACTTCTCCCAAAAAGTAACTGAGTTACTAACTGAGTTACTCCACAATAAAAGTAACTAGTTACTAGTAAAAGTAACTACTGCGTTACTTTTGCATTTCTCGCCCCCGTAACCCTCACCACCCAGCCCCCACCTTCTCGCCGTGTGTTTCCAAAGCCAGCTGAATAGAGCGGACGACAAAGACAAGAACCTGCAGACAGTTTAGCATTTATTGCAACTCAACGTAAATGACATCAGGGGGGAACGCCATGTGAAGTTTTTTAACAGGGCGTTCAGATCTGGTGAGTATATGAAATTAATAACTGGGGATGTCTAATTCTGAAATCCTGTGTGTTTGGGTTGTTATAGATACTGCAACATCTATCTATCCATCTATCTATCTAGATCTATACTCTGTGTGTGACATAAAATATGGATCTCCATCCCTGCCACAAGGGCCATCAAATAATGTTTAAAATAAAAAATACAGTAGGTTGAAAAGGCAGAGTATCCATCCATCCATCCATCCATCCATCCATCCATCCATCCATCCATCCATCCATCCATCCATCCATCCTTCTCCCTTTCTCCATATAGGCTAATGATCGTTCACGCTCTCCATAGTTCTCCTGTGGCGCGAGCACAGGGCGGCTGTTACGCGCCTTTAGCTAGCATGCGCATTTCCTGTCGCTTGCGCGGTGAATCGTGCCGCCTGCGCTGTGCGGAGATGCAGGGGAAACCGTATCTGATGGGGAAACGCAGCTCGACGTAACACCAGTATTTCCATCTGGAAAACGCTGTTTTGCTGCAGGAGTCCTCCTCACTCTCCATCTCTCTGTGTGCTGTACGTTAACACCCGCCAGCAGAAACACCCACCTACCCAACTGACAGACGGAATCTCACTATACATCAGCCATTCTCATCCTCCCCTCTCTCATGACAAGGCGCGCACGAGTCCTATCATGAAAAAAGGTTAATTGAGCGACCTGAGCAACGCGCAGTAACGGGCTGTCGGCAATGGTAACTGCGTTATAGTTACAGTCAAAGTAATTAGTTAGATTACTCGTTACTAAAACAAGGTAACTTTCAATGCCGTTAGTCCCATCACTGCAAATAGGGCACCGATACCATTTTGAGAGCCAAAAGTTTATTCAACTATTGTCACCCAGGTAGGCAAAAAGTTCTACTTGATTTACTTTGCATTAGTCTTTTTCCTGCTTCACAAAGGTAGTTTTTCATATATAAACACTGATATGAAATTCAAACGGATGGTGTCGGTATCGGCCGATAGTGCACAGCCAGGTATCGGTATGGGGGTAAAAAAATGGCGTCTTTTGATTATCTAAAAACACTGATATGGATGACTGCAGGGGGCTAGAAATATTGCAGATAATGAATCAGATTATAAGACACAAGCCGTTCACCATCCATTTCCCCTTTTTTAGATTTTAAATGTATGCGCTCAATTCTAATGCTATTTGCAGCTTTAAAGCAGAATCAGAGCTTTCACAGGAGTCCTGTTAAGCTCAATCGTCTGAAATTTAAAACAAAAATAGTCAGTATTCATTCATGTTCTCTCAACCAACACAGTGAGGAAAAGAAGAAGATTAACCTATTTTCTGTCCATATAACTGTTGTTAGTATATTAGAGTTTTTATTATTTAATGCAAAAACTTCACTTCACTAGAATATTTTTAAAGCAACAAAGAGTGTTTTGATGTGCTTTCTATATAAAAAAAACAGCTCTGCTTGCACTTTGTCTCTACCCAGCAAACCATGATTTTGACATTTCCTACAGCACTTAAAAGCAGCATGGTGACCACGCAGTTTGTGGCTGCATCTTCTTTAAGGTGGAGATAGATGGATGAAGCAGACAGGTTTGTGAAGATGACGGCCCAAAGTAGATCATTATCTGGGCCTAACCATATGACTGTTATTACAGAAGCATGCAAGCAGTGATCATAAAAGTCCAGATTAACTTTGATTTATAGAAACAGATTTATCTGCTTAAACTTTAATTAAATTACAAAAAAAAAAACATAAAATCACCCTTAAAATCGCTACATTAAAAAAAGAAAACGTTGCACTTTTTTTTGTCTTTTGTAAAAGTTTTTTTTTTGTTTGTTTCAAAAATGTCTGATGTCTCCAGGGTAATTTTAGCCATGACAGCGACAGGGAACAAACAGGGCAGCAGCAGCGGAGGCTAAACCCTGGGCAACCCTTAAATCACAAACTGGGCAGTGTTCGCACATTCTTCCAGCTCTCCAGCGTCTCCTGGCAAGCTGCTAAATGAAGACCCAGGCTGACCCTGACAGGCTTGCAAACTTGAACTAATCCAGGAAAACGAATAAACAGACAGAATATATTGTTGTTTACACCCAAAGTGTTTGTGCAAGAGATTAAGCATCAATAGTTTAATCTACTTGACCAACAAACTATGTTTGCTGCTTCACTCATAAGGTAAATGTTTACAAAATAGCATTGCCATTGTCAGCTAAATAAGACAATTCATAGGTGTTGTGGGAAAATAAAAAATGCTCACAGCTCTAATTTTGAATATTACCAACCCAAAATTTGTTGCCGGTTGCTTAAAAGAAATGCGGCAAAGCGAAAGCTGTCAGCTGCCTCCTCGAGCAGAACAGAAGCTTCATTCAGCAGCGCGGGCTACCCTCAATATACACTTTGTTTGAATGCAAGCTACATGTGGCCTCGTGCAGGAGGACAGGCATGCAGTTG